TAGGTTTATGATTCAGACTCTATTAAGTTTATTCAATATTTGTAAGTTTGAATTTTAAATTTAAAAAAAAAATTATAAAAATGAAATGAAATAAGGAAGTTGGGACAAATTTTTGAAATTTCAGTAAACATTTCTTGATCAGTGCTCATGAATATTCAAATGAGTGAGTTGGTGATGTTGTTGCTTCACCATCAGTCATATATCGCGATTCAATATATTTTTGTATCAAAATATACCACAATAAACATTATTTATCATTTAAAAGCACAGCTTACATTTTCACAGCTAAAATATGAGATAGGCCCCATTTGTCATTATGACAAATGTATAGAAAATTGTGAGGTGACGACCCCGTGTATTTCAACAATTATTCATAAGGACCATGAAATGTTTTCCGAAAAAATTTGCACCAATCTGGAGGGAAATTTGTACACTCTCATTTAGAGTAACGATAATTTAAGACATCCCTTGACATGTAAACGACCTAACTCCTTTCCCTTCTTCAATTCCTTAATCATAAAATTGTCGGAAATTTTTATAATTTTTTTTATCAGTTTCTTTTTTGCATAACTTGTTGATCATAAGGGTCTGAATGATAAAACTACACACACTACGTGACTATACGCCCTACACAGTCAGTGGAAGGTGTGCAAGACTGGAACTCAGGACACGACATTGGATTATCTAGCTAAATTAGAGTCTGTGCGTGCAGACTACTCTTACAATGCAGTTAGCATGCACATAACTCCCAACCGCAACATGCACTCATCGCATGTACGTACACAGAAATTTCTATGATCGCATAAATCGGGGCGAGCTAAGTCCACGCGCATGCGTACTGTCTAACTATAGTGATGACGGTCTCAAATCAAGTCGCTCCGCGGAATAAAATTAGCTAATCTGACGCGTTAGTGGTACGGAAAAAAAAATCGCTCCCCGGCGGACCCCCGCAGCTAGCTCGCATGATATATGCAGGCTCGCGCTCCGCGAATATTCAAAACTAACTTCCGATCGCAATCGATCTCGAGGCCGCGAGGTACCACCAGATCTAACGTTACAGTGGATCACAAATTTGTTGGTAAGTCTGCATAACTTATAAAATTTTCCCCAAATAACAAGCATCATAGAAAACCAATTTCATAATGGTTTCTCGGTCGTTTTATCTTGTCGTCAGTCTTCTTCAACCCAAGCCAAGGAAAACATCAGCCAGGCGGTGAAGAGGTGGAAAGACGTCAAAACACGGCGAAGGCTTCCTAAATGCAGGACATCATGTGAACAAGTCACCGTCATGGCAGACGCTCAGGTAAAACATATTCTTACTCTGAAATGACAATCTACACCAGCCTCAACGTATTATTGTGTTCAAATGCACAGTCATTCATAGTTATTATTAACATTCATACACTCCAAACATTTCTTTTCCATTTAACCCCATTACACCTGCAATAGCTTGCTCTTCACTTTTTGAAATTGTTTTGGGAAACAACTGAGAGCAATTGTTGTAGAAAGCATTTCTTATTATTTTGAATATTTTTCAGTGAGATTATGAAAGCTCTGAATTTACATTATCTATCTATATTGTTTTATTCATACACTACAGGTGCAAACTGGTGATGGCGACACTGATGATGGTGCATCTGTATTGGGCTGTGAGTCAATCCAAGTAAATGAAGTTCCAACTTAATACGCTGACGATGATACCATCACTGAAGGCCATGAGGCTGTTCACACCGACAGAGATAGCGCGCGCTAGACCGCGCTATCTCTGCGATGTGGCAGGTACAACGTCGTTTCGGTCCGCCCAACAGCGAGCCACGGCGAGCCAAAAGGGCGTGCCACTGGAGCACCTCTTGGGGGTGGTCCACGAGAGATAGCGCGGTCTAGCGCGGGCTAGAAAAAAGGGGGTGCTACGATAGACCGCGCTATCTCATTGCGGTGTGAACAGCCTCCAAGATGCAATGGGAGATGGCATCTCTGATAAAAGCTCCACACAAGACAAAGAACTTATAAAGGCTCTTAATTTATCAGAGTCCTCTGGCTCAGAATCTGAACCAGAAGATCTCTGAAATCAGAATTATTCTGGTGATTGGTAAGAGTCTTGATGTACATGTAAGAAAAGAAATTCTGAACACAAGACAAAGAACTTATGAAGGCTCTTAATTTATCAGAGTCCTCTGGCTCAGAATCTGAACCAGAAGATCTCTGAAATCAGAATTATTCTGGTGATTGGTAAGAGTCTTGATGTACATGTAAGAAAAGAAATTCTGAACACAAGACAAAGAACTTATGAAGGCTCTTAATTTATCAGAGTCCTCTGGCTCAGAATCTGAACCAGAAGATCTCTGAAATCAGAATTATTCTGGTGATTGGTAAGAGTCTTGATGTACATGTAAGAAAAGAAATTCTGAACACAAGACAAAGAACTTATGAAGGCTCTTAATTTATCAGAGTCCTCTGGCTCAGAATCTGAACCAGAAGATCTCTGAAATCAGAATTATTCTGGTGATTGGTAAGAGTCTTGATGTACATGTAAGAAAAGAAATTCTGAACACAAGACAAAGAACTTATGAAGGCTCTTAATTTATCAGTCCTCTGGCTCAGAATCTGAACCAGAAGATCTCTGAAATCAGAATTATTCTGGTGATTGGTAAGAGTCTTGATGTACATGTAAGAAAAGAAATTCTGAACACAAGACAAAGAACTTATGAAGGCTCTTAATTTATCAGTCCTCTGGCTCAGAATCTGAACCAGAAGATCTCTGAAATCAGAATTATTCTGGTGATTGGTAAGAGTCTTGATGTACATGTAAGAAAAGAAATTCTGAACACAAGACAAAGAACTCATGAAGGCTCTTAATTTATCAGTCCTCTGGCTCAGAATCTGAACCAGAAGATCTCTGAAATCAGAATTATTCTGGTGATTGGTAAGAGTCTTGATGTACATGTAAGAAAAGAAATTCTGAACACAAGACAAAGAACTCATGAAGGCTCTTAATTTATCAGAGTCCTCTGGCTCAGAATCTGAACCAGAAGATCTCTGAAATCAGAATTATTCTGGTGATTGGTAAGAGTCTTGATGTACATGTAAGAAAAGAAATTCTGAACACAAGACAAAGAACTCATGAAGGCTCTTAATTTATCAGAGTCCTCTGGCTCAGAATCTGAACCAGAAGATCTCTGAAATCAGAATTATTCTGGTGATTGGTAAGAGTCTTGATGTACATGTAAGAAAAGAAATTCTGAACACAAGACAAAGAACTTATGAAGGCTCTTAATTTATCAGAGTCCTCTGGCTCAGAATCTGAACCAGAAGATCTCTGAAATCAGAATTATTCTGGTGATTGGTAAGAGTCTTGATGTACATGTAAGAAAAGAAATTCTGAACACAAGACAAAGAACTTATGAAGGCTCTTAATTTATCAGTCCTCTGGCTCAGAATCTGAACCAGAAGATCTCTGAAATCAGAATTATTCTGGTGATTGGTAAGAGTCTTGATGTACATGTAAGAAAAGAAATTCTGAACACAAGACAAAGAACTTATGAAGGCTCTTAATTTATCAGAGTCCTCTGGCTCAGAATCTGAACCAGAAGATCTCTGAAATCAGAATTATTCTGGTGATTGGTAAGAGTCTTGATGTACATGTAAGAAAAGAAATTCTGAACACAAGACAAAGAACTTATGAAGGCTCTTAATTTATCAGAGTCCTCTGGCTCAGAATCTGAACCAGAAGATCTCTGAAATCAGAATTATTCTGGTGATTGGTAAGAGTCTTGATGTACATGTAAGAAAAGAAATTCTGCAAACAAAATGACATTGTATAGACAGACAGTACATATCTCCCAAACTCACACTGTCCTGAATGTTTACGATTACAAATTATAATGCCTGGCTTTAAAGATGAAATTTAATTCATCACACAACACACCTGGTACTGTAAGTCTACAAAGGACAAGATAGACCAGAATAGAAGCCAATCGGTTAATTCATTTATTTTATTTTCATTTATTTCCTTAAAAAAATTGAATAAACAAATATACAGTATCTTCACTTTGTCAGGAAAAACAGTGATATAACATTATAAAATGAACAGGAACTGAAGTAAATTCTTAAATGTATTCAATAATTTCATGTCAAAAAAAAATAATTAAATGAGAATTCATATGGGGAGCCAAATAAAAGTCACAAGTAAAAAAAAAATCAAAATCTAGCCTCTGCTGCCCATTATTTAAATACTGTACATGTATTCATCAAATCATGATGTAGAAAGATTGAGTATGGTGCATCATCTCAGTTTAATTAAAAATTACAAAGTAATGGTAAAAAATTGATAAATAATTATCAACTTAATAACTTTTCTTATGAGTTATGATTGTTCATGTAATATTAAACATGAACAATATGTGTGTTTATTACAATATATGTGTAATACAAGGTAGGAAAGATAACTACAAATTTTCTTCTTAGGTATGCACCAGATTGCACGATTTCAAGTGGAAAATCCCAAAAGGTCCCTACCGTGGGAGGGGGGACACCCCCCTCCCACACCTTCCCCCCTCGGTCGCTTCGCTCCCTCGCAGTGATGGTACCTCCTATAAAATTCAAATTACCTCCTTCAAAAATAATTAACAAGACCCCTTACGAGGGGGGTTGTCTCTTGTTTTACAATGGAGTGGAACCTGGGAAGGTATGACGCAAGGGTTGAAGGACGTGTAGAGACACATACGGTATGACGTAAGGTTTGAAGGGCAGGTAGAGACGTGACTGTGGATAAACATAGAATAACCACGTCATGGTACCGTAATAGGCACGTAAAAAATGTATAAAATACCGTGGACGTGTCCAAAAGAAATAGTATATTCAATCGTACATCACCGTCAGCAACATGTACAGTTACTACAAACATAATACAAAGACGACTAACGAAGACATAGAAGATGTACCTCGTGAGAATGAAGATTCTGGGTTTGCATCGCCCGAACCCTTATTCATAGACGAAGGCTTATAGACCGCGGGCCGAGGTGCATTTTCTTTTCATCTCGTGCCTCAAATTTGTATCTAGCTGTATTTTGGTCAACATGTTTAAAAATATTTATTACAGTCACATCTGAAACTCGTCAGTAACAAAACTTGCACATTTTCTGAAAATATCAAAAAACAAAAAAACAAATTTGAGACAATTTTTCACTTTCTACGGTAAGAATGACCAATCACAATACGTTGCTGATAGCATGATGTGTGGAGTGACTGGCTTTTGGCCAATCATATTCTTTGTTTTATGCGCACGCCTATGCGACTTTTACTGTGCACTGCGACTTTCACTGTGTACTATGGCGACTTCTGAGTCGTTTGATGCCAGTGAGACGGACAATTCTGAGGCTGGTGAATCCGCTTTCTGTTCCATACATGTCATCGATACTCAGAGCAAGATTATACCATTTAGTGATAAAAGCTATCAAAAGTGTAAGGAGTGTGCAGCTAAGTGGGTAATCGTGGAAGAGAGTTTAGAAAGTGAAGTTGCAGAGAAGTTGCAAGAACACGTACACGAAAGTGAAGGTGTGGGACAAGTCGGTCTTCAGTCATCGACAACAAGCAGGTAAGTTATCACCTAATATATTGGTATAGATCTAGATATCTAGGCCTGCATGAAATGAAAAGTGTTCACATTTTCCCCGAAATAAAAATTGCACTTGAAAAAAGAGCAGAAATTACAAATTTGGTCTAGAGTAGTAGAGAACAGACTAGATCTAGACCTCTCATCTACTATGGTCCTGGATTACATTTACAGGATAGATTTTCTAGGTCTAGATCTACTACTACTAGACCCTGTCCCTACTACTACTGTCTAGACCCTGTACTTTTTTTCGTCTACAGATAAATTATAAAATAGTCTAATTCTTGACTCTTGCTTGTGTCAAGAAATTAAGCCATTTACATAGGCCTAACTACTTAAACTAGGTCCAGCAGTTCTTGTATTTTAGCAGATTGAACTTTAATAGAAATTATTTATTAGTCTACATCTCTCACATTTTCTTTTACTAGGGAGCACCATACTCGGCTTCGAGGATATCATGCTGAATGTTACCGACACTTTTGCAACGTAACGACAATCAGTAGAGCATTGACAAGACTTCAGAAGAAGAGAGGTAATAAACAATGATTAAATGCTGCTAAAATAATTTAAACAGTACAGTACAAAGACAAAGAAGAGAAGGAGAGTGTTTGATCTGTGCGTGTGTGAGGCAGTGCAAAAGAAGACACCGGTAGGTGCAATTGTGCAATAATTGTTCTGCATCTACACATTTAGATCTACTGGCGATTTCAAGTTCAGTGTCAAAAGCCACAACACTGAACTTGAAATGCGGCTGGTGTTGGAATTGACCTCGGAAAATATGTTGTTGAATGTTGTCTGCTGAACCGAGTATCATGGTTCGCTTTGACGATTTATTTGTTATTTCCCTATTCCCCAACACAAATCGCCTAGAGATTGGGAAATTTGTGATTTGAAGTTCGGTGTTGGTGTTGGTGATCTTAAGATCATGAACCAAATGATAACGTCACAGCAAAGTTAAGCGAAATCCAATTTACAGTCAAAATGTTTTACAAATCATCAGAGCTATATATGTGTCTATTTTCTAAAGATTAATAACATTTTCTCTTTTGATTTGAAAATACGATTTTAGATTTTACATCCTGTTTGATGAAATTTGAATGCCATTTCTCACTGATTTCACTTTCGTTGTATAGCCTTTTCGCTTGAAATCGTGAGTGGATCACATAAAAGGCGTGACATCACTCAGTATTGAGCTATTTCTCAAGTACAGTCAGTGTTGGAGCTTGGTTCAGCAGCTTGATCCACACTTTCAACACCAACACCACATTGAGTTATATATTCAGAAAATCAGAATGATTTTGATAAAATTGGTTTTAATCAGTATTTTTTCTCCTGTCTGTTCCTTTCTTCCTTCTCTTTTTCTTGTTAAACCCACAGATGCTGAGAAGACATCTACAGAAGATCCAGAGGAAGTGTCAGCAAGTGAGGATGCCCCTGCACCCAAGAGACTGCTGCGGTTGAGAGTATCCCATGAAAATCAACCCTCTACCAGCCATGACTTTGATAAGCCGCATGTATTGCCAGTCCATTGCATTATCTGCAAAGGAGCTAAGTATATCCGCGAACAGTCTTCTGGTAAACGGAAGGTAGAAAAATTAATTCTTTGTGAAAGAAAAGGAGGTTGAATCAGATGAAGAAGATTCAGATGGAGAATAAGCATTCCCCTAGCAATGCAATTTGTATTTCACATTGAATAAAGAAGAAAAAGCTAGAATTTCAAAATGATTCTTGAACTACACCCATGTTAGATTTAAGTTTGTATCCTGGATGATTACACTCTGTGTGTTTGTAGTTGATGAAAGGCAAAATGCTTACAAAATGAAAAAGGAAAATGTGTATTACTTGCAAAATAATCATTAAATCTGTCATGACACCCGTGATGATTTCTCTTTATTCTTTGCTTACTTTCATATGTTTTTTTTCCTTTAAATAAAAAGAGTGTAAACACAGGATGGATATACTTGCCTTCTGAAAAATGACAAGATCACAAAACAAAGTGATTTAAGCATTAATGTGTCATTTATGTTCTTTTGTTATACTCTATTCAATATGTCACAGTTATTATTGACCCCTGAGCTGATTAACACAACTTTGAATCATTCATTAGCCAAATCAAAATTAAAACTAAAACAAATACATACATATATTTTTTAAAGGACAAGAAATTCAAATTTTCCTATTGTCAGAAATCTGTAGGTTTATTATTCCTGATTTGCTAATTTGAAGAAAACCTGTTGTCTCACTTCTTTGATGACAAGAGTTTGTAGCATTGTAACATCAATACGCCAATACCTATATGATAGTTATCCTTCCATGCAAAAACAGGGTAAAGATATGAATATACCAATTTCTGTTCAAACACAGTTGTTTGGGACAACTAAGGTCACACTTGTATGATGTTGTATTTTACTGTTCATGTGATTTATATGAAAACTTTAGAGATTGATGAGGCTTAACAATTTATAACCACTTTGAATATATAGTCATTTACAGTATTTGTGAGGTAAATGTATATACTTCCAGCAAAATGTTTTTGATGCCCAAGTCTAGTAGTGGTTTATTGACTGCACTGCACATTCAATTGTTTATGGTACATAGTCATTTAGACAAACATAACATGAATCCATTGTTACCATGTTTCACTCAGGTGTACATGTACATGTAAATGGGTACCCATCTAACCAGAGCAGTACATATTTTGTTGCTAGGTATTACTACATGCAGGTAAAGAGAAGTGTCATAAAGCATAACAAGTGCTCTATAAACAGGAACCAATATTTTATTTTGAAAATTCCTGATACATGTTGAGTAATGGTCATTCCCTTTGTCATTCTGGAAAGTATTTGTTCTTCATGTATTTTTTTTCATCATGACTTGACACTGAAAGTTGTTTCTCAATATGTTAATGTAAGGGAAGAAAATACTTGTAGATGTCGGGAGATAAATGTGTTTTTTGCCTCTATTCACTGCTAAATAAATACATTGTACCATTGTAGGTATAGATTTGAACTGGACATGTAAGTATTTTGTTCCATTGTGAAAAAATATTCTGATTGTGCACTATCGGAGGATTGAGATTAAGTAGTTCACAATTTTGTAAATACCATGATTAGTAATTGAAATGTATTCACGTTTAAGTTTATGTTTTATGCTGTACAAATGTGGGTATCTGGCAATTCTTGTTTTTGTCATCAACGTAATGGAGGGAAAATATTGTTAAAAATATAATTAAATCATCAAATCATCAAAGGCAAGTAGCAAGGAAGTTGATTTATGTCTGGTTTCCATGCCTTGTATGAATCAATGATGGATTTTCTCCCTCTAACAGTACACAATGATATTGAACATTTGAAAGTCATTGTATGAATTAATTCTCTGTATTGCTAGTACAGTAGACTTATACTTGTTCAAAATCTGTTGGGGCAGTTTAATAGATTTGGTATTAAGGAATGAGTTTGATCATTGTTATGAAAAAAACAAAAACAAAACTGCCTGGAAATTTCCTTTAAGAGCCAGAAAAGTGTACCTCATCATGAATACAATTTATTTTTCTTACAATGAATCTACTTCATACTATGCATTACGTCTACTGCCCCCCCCCCCCCCATTGTCAAAACTTCCTGTGATTTTGCAATGTATTTGAGATACATGTAGTTAAAAGATGATTAAAAATATTGATTGAATATGGAAATTTTGGCTTATCTATCTTGACACCTGTTCAAATTGTGTTTTAATGTAAATTAATTTATTGGATTGTTTGTGTGTGTGTGTATGCACTGTATATATATATATATATAGAGAGAGAGAGAGAGAGAGAGAGAGAGGGGGGGCAGACATACAGCCAGAGAGAGAGAGAGGGTGAAGTTTTCAGTATAAGTGTGGGGGGGTGCTATATTTGTGATGGGATACCGAAGGATGGTTCAAGTTGTGTAGTAAGTGATGAATACTGCTAGTCAAAATGCATTGAAACCATGATTATACTCATTAAAAGATGTGCATCCTCATGTGCACACATTGATATCCCCCCCCCAAACAAATAAAAACAAAAATGAATAAATACATAAATAAAAGTACCACAGTCTACCAAAGTCCCCATTATCTCCTGACCCCCCCCCCCCCTCTTTTCCACTTCTCTCCCCTCTCTATTAATCTCTCTCTTTATTTATCTCTATTTATTTTCAAGATTGTTTTTGTTTGTTGTTTAATCAAAGGGGGAAGTCCATCCTGAATAGAAGCAGAAAAAAGTTACATTGTGGAGTTGTCGAGTTGTGTTTCATTAATCACACCTTCAAAAATTGATAACTTGCTTACTTTCAAAACTTGCTGAAAACTTTCACTGTCGTCTTCCTTTCATTTTTCTGACTTTATTTAAACTAAAATATTTGTTAGGATGGACTTAACCTTTAAATAAAGAAAAATATAACACCAACCATTCCAAGACAGACTTGGGTGTTATTCCCTGGGTGAAACAAAACCTCCAAGTCCAATAAAATCCTGTGGAACCCATTAGCACAACACAGATCTCAAGATTTGAACACAAGAGGGCGCTGTAACTTTTTTAAATTAGCATAATTAATTAATGTGCAACTTATTGCACTGACGAGTTATCAATTGTTATTCAATGATTTTTGTTCTATTGAGTAACAAAAATTTAGGTATATACAAGAGTTGAGGCACGAAAATGAAAAATAAGCCACATATTTGATCTATGGCCCGCGGTCTATTATCAAATCTACAGCCAGGAAAAATGAACGAACAAGGCAGACAAGTGGGAGAGAAAACATCAAGCCACTGAAGGGACATCAGATGGACAGCTACGAGAAGGATGTGGATGGAGGTGGTACAGACGTGACAACAAACACGGCCCGTGATGTGAAAGCCACAACCGTTGCCAAGTTACCAATCAGCATGAAGGATGGACGCGCCAAGTACGTGGCCGTGCGAAAATTCAGAGGTCAAGTCTATGTCGACGTTCGAGATTACTACAAGTCAAATGGACAGTACTTTCCGACTAAAAAAGGCGTCACATTATCTGCGAGGGAATTCAAAGCAGTCCTGATGATTTCTAAGAACATCAACCGTGCAATCTACAGTGGAGAAAACCTGTAGTAGCATCGAGACAAAAAACCTTGGATATGTAACGGAATGAATATGATTTGAAAAAAATGATAATAAAGTTGTCACCATTTTACAGTAAAATCCAACGTGTTTATTATACTTTATTGCGTTTGTTGTCTTGACATCAAGGGTAGTGAACCTGTAAGAGACAAAAGGCGAGAGAGAGGGAGAGAGAGAGAGAGAGAGAGAGAGATTGACGCTTGATTGTTTGTGACGTGTGTAAGATTAAAATTGTGTAAACCATTGAGGGAATAGATGAAGAAATAGAGAGAGAGAGAGAGAGAGAGAGAGAGAGAATGCCTGAGATTAAAACTTTTACTAAGAGGGGAGTTCTTACAGAAACAGATGTTAGCGGTACGTTTGAAGTTGATCCGTTATTATACTTAATACAGGCGAGGGGGTCTTGTAGAGACTAGTTCTATTGTGTTTTGTTATTTTATTTTATTTTATTTTTTAATTATTTTTTATCCTCTTAACGTCCAAGACCAATTATCCTTACCAGAAAACAGATGTTAGCGGTACGTTTGAAGTTGATCCGTTATTATACTTAATACAGGCGAGGGGGTCTTGTAGAGACTAGTTCTATTGTGTTTTGTTATTTTATTTTATTTTATTTTAATTATTTTTATCCTCTTCACGTCCAAGACCAATTATCCTTACCAGAAACAGATGTTAGCGTCACAGGATTTGAAGTCGTCTTAATCGTGAAATCCATTGTGAGGGGGTCTATATATAATTGTGAGTTATTTTTTTTTATCACACTTGTTTATATCATAACTTGAATCTACAAATAATCATGGACGTCTTTCCTACCGAAACCGATATTCTCAATGACGGCCTAGGTGTTTCACCTCGATTTTACAGAAAGGGGAAAGCTCCACAGGAGGTATTCCGTACGGTACTTTCCGCTGCAAGAGGATTGCAGATGCTTGTAATACTGTTACACCGGGAGATGTTCTATTTACATTTAAGAACATTTAATAGATTTGGTGAAAATATTGTAATAGGCGGATCATCGGTTTTCTTGGGAGAACAAGACATGTTTTCTTTCCTGTCGAGTCTAGATGTGATTGATGAACAGCTACACGATTACGATGGCCATGTTGGGCGTAATGGCAGTACTTACAGTATTGAAGTTGATGTTCTCAGTGATGATCGCCCACACCGTTATAAAAATTTATCGAACAAATATGAAAACACATCCCTGTACATAGAAACCGGTGTCCTAAGAGGAAAACAGTTCGTGGACGTACGACAGGTCCTTAGAGACCAGGATAGAAATTTCCATACTGATAGATGTTTCAATACCTCCAACGGTATGTGTATGTATTTAGATGCATGGACAACGCTTTTAAATCTACGCGATGATATTATGAACCGGACAAGGGCGGAACGCGATGTCGTACTTGGAGAGGATGAGGAGTTCCACCACATGGACTATGGCCTGTATGACCTTGTATTGCTACAGCAAGGCCTGGTTGAGGGGTCAAATAACGGTGGTACACGCTATACCCACCCCTTTTCCAGGTCAATATTTGTAAAAAAATGTTTGCGAGAGATACAGGCCGAAATTGACCACGAGAAAGCCTTGGACGACGCCGAGGCCGCGGCGAAAGCGGCCTACCGCAAAGCAGAGGCCGACAAGAAAGCAGCGAAAGAAATGGAGTTTGCCGATGATGAAGAGGACTGCGATGAGTAAGACATCGATAACAGAAGACATGAAAATGCCGAGATGAAATACCTCGTCGGCGTATGCCTTAAGATACAAGAGGAAGAAGACTATGAACCGGACCATCATTCAGACTATTCCGTCGAGGACAACGTGTATGGCCGGGATGACAGCGATGAAGAGGAGGACATCGCGGATGTAGTAGCCCCCGAGGAGTTCCCGGATACAGAGGACCGTGATGAGTACGACGAGTACTTTCATGGCCGGCGATAGAAATAATAATAAAATGTATTAATATAATGATAATATAATAATAGCCTAATAGTCCACTCCAAATTTTATTAAACCGAAACGGAATTTTTTATTTATTT